CATGAAATGAACAAACCTAAGAGAGGTCTACCCAAGGTACATATACACCAAGTATCAAAGCATTTAGGCTTGTAGTTTTCAAGAAGAAGTCGAAAAAGTAAAACATTGACACGGACGACGACGACGGACAATCACTCATATGATAAGCTCCGCTCGACAAAGTCGACAGCGGAGCTAAAAATTAGATTGACGACATGACTACATTGTAACACGTGAAATTTGAAATTGGTCGCATATATGGTGCTGCAACACCACAAGCAATAAATGTCACTACATGGATCTTAGCCATTATGGACACATATTCCTCTTTATAAAGTAACAGTAAATACAAAATTTACTCCTTCATTTGCCAAGTCTACAACAATTAAAGGGCGGTGGTCCTCGTGCAGCACATGTTTGAATTTCATGTAAACAACATATTCTAACTGCATTGTAGTGGTCGCAATGAGTCCCATATCGAACACAACATGACGTAACAATCAACGCCCTTTAACCTTTCCACAATCAACCCATTGCACAGTGTTTTTTGACTTGCCAAAAGATATAAAATAACACTGGTTTTTTCTTTCAGTATATGTAATCAAAGATACACATAATAAGTACGTAAGTGCATTTTCTGACTGAATATTTTATATTAGCTGACGACAGCAACATGTTGGTTGTTGGAGTTTTGAAACAGGTTGCTGTGACGCTATGAAGCATAAATGCTGTTCGAATGACATGCATGGAACACAGTGGAAAGGTGAATACGCTAATGATACATGTTATTATTATACATCTGTCACCGTAACGCCATAGATTACAGCGTGCCGTAATTTTGCGATATTTTACGGGGTATTTTCATCCTACCATATTAGGAAATGCAAATTCCAAATATGGAATTATTACGCGCGTAAGCGTCCTCTAATAATAAAAACAAACATGGCTGCCACTAGGATTTAATCGGACTCCATACAAAGAAGTTTGCTGATTCTGTTCAAAACTTTTTAGATTTCGGCATTCCTATGATGTATCTTTGGTAAGAAAAGATGTATAATAATAAGGTTATTACGAAGATACCTCAAAGTATGCACTCAGACAGTACGCTGTCGCATCGACCTCCGCTGTGTGTCGGCCGATACTGCCACTGTACTGTCTTCGTGCCAACTTTGAGGTATCTTTGTAATAACCTCATATTATTATTAAGTACACAATAAATATCCTGTACCAACTCACCTAGTTGGTTTTGATTCTGATGATGTTCTAGTTCGATTCACAGTTGTAACGTTGATAGGTTGTGTGTATTTGTGTGGTTTGCAATCAGTCTGTGGTGCTTGGATGCATGTACTATCTGGAGGTGATGTCGAGAATGTAGAAGTGCACAAATCTTGAGACTGAGTTACCGAGTACTGCGCAAAAACGTCTTTCTCTAATCTATAAGGAAATGTACTATTTTATCATGGATAACAATAAATTTTGCAGAGAATATACATGAGTTAAACCTGTGTAACAAAATCTACAATATACATGTACAAGTAAGCTCATATGAATCACAGTTTAACTCAACACCTGAAAGAAGACAACTGGAGACATTAAAGTATGACACACCACTACTGTCTACACTTTGAACTGCATGGTTTAAGTGCAGATATACATGACTATACTGTTTCCTACCTAATAGTCACAAGCCAGAAGTGAGTTTAACAGAATAAATAATCTCTAACATGGTTGTAATGATGACGATGAAAAACAAATCTATGTTCTAGGCCTAGACTAGACTAAGAACGCAAACAGAAATAGAATAATGCAAGAATCCAATTATAATAACCTCAGTCCCCACATGCATTAACAATGGAAATATAAATTGTACACACCAATCTACCCATGTTTTTACCGATGAACACAATTACAATAAAACGCTAAAACCATGTAGATAAAGTTACAGAAGCTTTATACCCAATATATCACAATTTTTCAATTCAGGAAGTGCACATGTTAGGGTTATACAAAGAATACTAAACACATCATACAACACAGTTCATACCCTAAAACTTCTGCTTCACACGCTTTTTAGAAAGTAGTCTCCATATTTAGTGAAGATCTATGAAATATGATCGTCTTATTCCCCGCCTCAAACTACTATACTTATTAAGACGATTGGTACTGATTTTGATGTATTCCAGTGTGTTAAGGCATAACAACTAAACTAAAATGTTTCACATGAAAACACTGTCAAGATAACTACTTTTTTTTTCTGTAAAACAGAAGTTCTAGGTTGTATTCCCTTTACAGTGTATTATTATTCTAATCTACCCACCCTGAACTACTTTGGTTGCAATGTCTAGCAGACAGACGTTTAGGACTGGTTTGAAAATGGTCATCCTTAACTGCCATAGGCGTAGAATTACTGGCTCGCCTAGCACATAGGGGATAGTTGAAATGCATGTTAGAAGAGTTAAAGTCAAAGTCTATAACAAACACAGCATGAAGGAGTCAAAGGGGCATAACCTGCAACATGAGCATTCTCTTATATGCTGTTTGGAATGCTGTGAATATTGAATCAGGTTGATCAACAGTTTCCTATGTAACAAACTCTTCCAAGAGGATATTTGTATAGGCGAATTATTAAAAAAAATATTAAAAGAAAAACTGTTATCGTTTAATTTTCTATCAAAAATAAAAGTGTTGTTCAATAAGCCTTCTATGTACTGTCTGCACACTTTCAAAAACACCTCCTGGACAGCTGAGAGATTGTTTGTCCCTCTCCACATGCTACCGTATTACCGTAGTGGGTCATGTGACCTGATATATAAGCCTGTATTTTATCAATTGTTGTGAATGAAATAGGTCAAAAACATAGACCTAATTTTGTGGAAACTGATATCATCAACCTTATAAAAAGTATCCTTTCAAAAGTAATGAATAGTCACAATAAGTCTTCCAAAATTTTTTATGACAAGAACATATTACAGCCTTCTAAAAAAAGTAACGGTAGTGTAGCTTTCAGTACTAGCTCAAAGGTACCAAAGGAAAAATGTTGGTAGCTAAAATAAAACTGTCATTGATTGAGGAATTCACTCGCTAATTTTCGTAATAACTGATAAACTATTCAGTTTTAAACCATTATTACTTGTGTTAACTAAATATATGAGTAGCCAAAACAGAAATGTACATATAAAAATTTACACTGCATATTTGAGGATTGTAATCAAAATCTAAAAGCTCGTAATTTGACAACAAAATGCTGTGACTGTGGCTACCAAAAAAGTTACACAATTTTAAAGGCTCCTTTAGACTACTTGTATTTCCACACAGAATAAAGTTGCAGCTTATGCCCCTTTCTATAATCATGGTAAATCCTAGTTCCGGGTTTTTTTCTTCGATATGTATCCCAGAAATGGATATCAGCAAATTTCCTTATGTCTGTTAAACACAACGCAGACCAATATGCCAAAAACAGCATGCAAGAGCCGAGTAAATTTTTGAACTATGGAGCTGCATTATGTTAAATTATTCAAACAATAATGAATCCCTGCAGCGTCATATTGGATGAGAAGAAAAGTCTATGGCAGGATAATGTGCGTGTCAGATCCGAATTATCGCGTCCAGATCCGTCTCTAAATCCACTATGACACGATGTACCATTCATTATTGCTGTTATGAACCATCACCAACAGAGTTGAAAAAATTACTAGATAAATTTGGGGGCTTTTTGTTGAAATGAATCCCATTGCGAATAAAAGTTTACATTATCATGTGACTTCAGTAAAACCTTTAATTCTGATAGTGGTGATTTTTAAGAATACAGTATTGCAGAACAAATTACCAGAAACAAGGATCATAGTATTAAATACAGGCATATTCATGATGCAACATGCACAAACAAATGCATACATGTATATGAACAAGTCATGAGCAAAACGTGCAACAGGTATCAGCAATTAGAGTTAACAATAGAACATATATTACGCCATGTTAGTGTTGTCAATAATTAATTATCAAAGTTGTAAATCAATTGTAAAAACATTAAATCTCAATGGTAACCCTGGTAGAAATGCTGAAGTGATAAATTTTAACAAAAAGGACGAGAGCAGGGCAAATTTATTTTTGTCTAATATATAAAAATCTAGCAAACCAGTCAGCTATTACACCAGAATATAACCTAGTGGTGAAACTACAAACATTAGAAACTGCACGATTAGGTTACTGCAGAGGGAGAAATATTCCCTGCGTTGGATTTTCAGCAAATAGCATGTGCATACAATAGGATATTCATTATTTAAAATCAGATTACAAAGAACGGTATTGAGCATTTTGTTGGTATGTTTTGTTGCATGCTGAGGGATATTCAGGGATGGACACTAATCATCAAATTCTATGTACTGAGCATGTCCAAAACCAAGATGGCATTGTTTACACATGGCTTGCTCGCTAGCAAGCAAGGAAGACCAGTGTAGAAAAAACTGTCACACTGAAGGTCTTGTTTTCATCATCAATCAATATGTTCTGAAACAACTCTGCTTTTTACCATAGTGGATACAACTATTTATTGATTTACTGCATGTTTGTCAAACAAGTAAACATCGACAACTTACTGATCTATGCAAGATGTTTTCAGAGACAGTAATGACAAAACATGCTCTGTTATTCATTTCACAATTTTAAGCTAAGCTGAATGAAGCAGCAAGTCCTAAATAGCATTTCTACTGGGGACACCGACATGTAAGTTTTTCAAAATTGTGATTAACTATATACATACTAAGTGTGATAAAATAAATTGACACATGCAAATTAGATGATGATAACTGGACGTTGCCCGATATCTTTACAGCTATGAACATTATTGTACAATATGTATGAACCTATGACATCCAGAATATGTAAGAATTATCGCTATAATAAAACATTTTTTCAGCACAAATACTTCATTTACGTAAATTACAGAGGAGTTCCTACGGTCAGTATAAGTGATATTTTAATGATTCACTATACAACAAATGTAATTTTGGGTTCATATGTGCTTCTATTGGAGATGTACTTCTTATGAAGCAAATACAGTACATGAAGCCAGCTTCTTAAACATTATTATTATCATATAATTGAACTGAAATATAAATTAGTTGTTCTGTAGGCAAATTACCACTGCATATTGCTTACCTATCTGGAATAGCTAATTTAGTTCTATAGGCTGCAGTCAGCGTAATTGTACCTATGGGTGTAGCTACTGATCCAACACGTAAACTTTCAAAACCTACAATATATAAGATAAATAATATTATTATACATCTGTCACCGTACAGCGTTACAGTTACAGGGTATTTTCATCCTACCATATAAGGAAATGCAAGTTCCAATTACGGAATGATTGCATGTGTAAGCGTCCTCTAGACAAACATGGCAGCCCCCAGGCTTTGACTGGACCCCATACAAAGTCCGTTCAATCTGTTCTAAACATTTCGTATTTCGGCATTCCTATGATGTATCCTTGGGAGGAAAAGATGTATAATTATAAGGTTATTACGAGGACATCGAAAAGTATGTGTACGTGGCCGCATTGGTATCCTCATAAAAACCTCATAATATTATACATTGAAAGTGTTCGTCAACCATATTCAGTGACTTTTGTTTTTTCCACATTATTGATGTCAATTCTACAATAGAAGGGTTTTATTTTATGATTAGTTCTTATTAACTCTTTCAACACAAAAGTCAACTAAACCTTGCACCAAAAAAAAACAGTAATTACACCAGTAATTCCATTTGTATGAGCAGTTTAAAGTAAGCGGAATTAGCCATGACGATGAACAAAGAAGAGATCCAACTAAGGGATAAATATATAACTTGAGTTACCTTCTCCTAATGCCGACAAGTTAGCAGCACCATAGAAGATCCTATAAAAGATACCAAAATCAGAGCCTTGTTTTCTTGCCAGTTTATAAGCTGGTGTGACCCTACACATACATATAAGTGATTTCAGTAGTAAGCCCATTCTATTGTAAACTGCATAGTGTACTTTGGCATTGGTATCACATCGATCATTCATTCCTAAGCACCAAATTTCTAATATCATACTATCACCCTGCAAATAAATATAAAGACTGCTTTAGAAAAACAAAATACAAACAACAAATCATTTACAGTGAAAGTTTGTCATATGTTTACATGTTATCAAAAAATTCACTTTCCCACGTAGACGGACTGTATTATACAGGTATTGAACCAGCCAGGCTGGTCAGAGGGCTTTTTCATCTGTAGCCCAGACACATTGACATTCACTTTAGCAATCTGTGAAAGCTTTCAACGGGTGATGTGTTAATGAATGAATTGAGGATTATACAAATTTGTATGTTGTTTAAAACTACTTCAGAGTTCAGATTAAACAGGTTTGATGGTATAAGTACGTACCTCTGCTGTTCTTAGTGAGACTTCTACACACATAGACGTACCAATGGTTGGTAATTGATTTGATATGTGCTTCTTAGCTTCAGCTAATACTTCGGCATTATCTTTAATTGCTAGGTTGAACTGAAATATTTACAGTATGTATATATTATACACAATGATTATTAAGACTCCACACACAAAAAATGAAGATAGTGGCCAAATCACACAATAATGAACAGACATTGACTGCCAATGAAGAGAATAACACACGTAACTTCCCTGAGGGAATACAACCATCTCTGAATGGCATATACCCATCGTGTGATCGCCAGATACGTTTAGGTCAATTTACTACTATATGTAGCTGAAGATTTTACATGCAATAATGTTTGAAAATTGTGATAAAAAAGAAGTCAGTAAATGTGAATATATCGATGTACTTACCCAATCAGAACCCGTTGATTGGGGTTTGCATTTGGTATGTGTTTTATTTCCTAATCTTGATTGCACAATTACTTGTATAGACTGAAAAAAAAAAAAAACATTGATATATGAATCATGTTATATACAAAAATACATGACAATTCATGAAGATTAGGACATCAAAATCAAATCACATTTTATAATAGTTAGCAAGAACTTAGAAGCTTGTTATGTCAAACGATTGCAATGTACCGGTACATGTACAGCTAAGCAATTGCTCGGAAAAACATCTCCAATAGAAGCACACATAAACCAAAAACTGTTTTTATTGTATGCTGGATCATTAAAGTAGGAC